GGAAGTTGACATTGGTGATGGGATTGGTGTTGAAATATTATATGCCTAAAACTCAACTATCAATAACTTTGTAAATCATTATTCTCTAATTCAATTTAAAAATTTTAAAACTACATTGGGGCCAGAGAGATAATATAGGAGGTAAGCCTTACACACAACCTACCTCAGACCCCAGAAGTGCATATAATCCCGTGTACCATCAGGAGTAATCCCTGAGCAGAGCCAGGAGCAAGCCCTGAGCACCACTGGGTGTAGCCCAACAACCAAAATAAATGAAAAGTACATTGATGCATCAGAAGTGTGGGTGCTGACAAATGTGTATACCTATATTCAAATAGGAGAACTACTTTTAAAATGTAGTGATGTCTCATAAGAGAAGAATGGTAGAACTGATACCTTATGATATTGTGTTAAAACAATTATTGTGGACTTGTGAAATTGTTCCAAGTTTATGTGGAATACAAGACAGGAAACTATAGTGAAATCTGATTATTACTGATGTTGGAATTTTCTATTAACTCATTTTGAGTATGTTTTTGTTTTGTTGTACCTTCCATAAATTTTTGTCGGTGAAATTACATTTTGTATATGTTGAAGGCATTTATAATTTTCAGTGATTTACCTAAACAAATTCTATGAATTTTATTTTCCACTCACTTTTCCCACCCCACCAGTCACTGCTCTTTTATTTAAAAAATTTTAATTATTAATATATCCCCACCAAGATTATTGAGCTAAGGGACAACACCCAGAGACCCACCTTTGCACTGAAAATTTCCCAAGCCCCGCCACTCTCCCCCATATACATCAAAAAATAACACATTTGAGGGGTTGTTCCTGTCTCTGTAGTTGATTGAGCCCCAGCAGTGCTCAGGGTACCCTATGTGGTTTGAGATTCAAACTGGAGTTGGCTGCATACAAGTGCCTCATCTCCTGTTTGGGGGCCATGTCCAGTAGTACTTAGGGATACTTTTAGCTCTGTGCTGAGGGGAAACTCTCAGTACTGCTCAGGGCAATCAAACCAGGGATTCCTGCATATATCTGTTCATTCCACTGACTTCTCCAGCCCTTTTTATTCTGGAAACAAGAATTTTTCTATCATCCTTATGCAGGAGCCTTGCTAAATTGTCTATCTTCCAATTTTAAAGCATGTGATGCCAAAGTGAGAGCCTTGTAAGCTTGGATTTCCAGGGACCAACTATCAATTATTGACAGGCCAGGAATTAGGCTTTTTTCTGCAGCAGATGCTTGTCTCTTGCCAAGGTTTACACAACACATACAAGTGTCCTTACACTTTCTCATTGTGATAATCCAGACTGAATTGGGGTACAAAGGAATAAAAGAAATACTTCCAACACTTGAAGTCAACGAAACTCCCACCCTTTGCTGATGAATATGTGATCAGGGCAATGCAAAGCTTGAGCAATTTCCAAATCTACTCCAGCTTTTGTTTGCAAGGTGTCTTACTAGCTAAAGTAGTAGCTCCACTTAAATGAAGTCTTATCTATCCCTTTAGGACCAATATGGATAAGGTGGACTGTCCCAAGATAGTGTAAATATTTCTGGGAGCTGGAGAACAGGAGTTAAGGCACTTCCTATATGTAGCCCTTACTGCTTGATTCCCAACAGTTTGGTTCCCAGCACCCACCACATGGTCCCCCAAGCACCACCGGGAGTGATGCCTGAGCAGCAGCTTGTACGTTTCAAAAACAGAAAAGTTTCTTGGGAGCTTCCCACTCTCCTGCTAAACCCTATCACTACTTAGACCCCAGGCTAAGTGCAATGTAGGCTGCACTGAGAGGGCATTCTCCACTCCAAATAAAGGCAGGACCTTGCAAGGGCCTAATAGAACTTCAAGGCCACAAGGCTGGCTTTGTGGCCACAAGGGAACAAGGGCGTTGGGATGAGAGCAGCCCACCTAGTCATCGACTCCCACTGATCTGTTGGGTGGGGTTGAGTATTTTCTTAAAATGATTCCCTAGCTGCATGCTTTCCATTCATATTTATTTTGGGGAGGGGGCAGGTTTGTCCATTGCTTTTAAGGGAGCAAATCTGATGAGCTGCATACTTGGTACAGTAGCTCATACAAGTTGTACAAATTATGCAAGTTCATCCTACTCCTTTGAGGAGGTGAGATTGTTCCTGTCGGAGGAAATCTTTTTGTTGTTTGGGGGCCACATCGGTAGTGCTTGGAGCTGAATCCTGGCTCTGCGCTCAGGGATCGCTCTTGGAGGACTCGGGGAGGATCTAACCCAGGCCAACCTTGGCCACATGCAAGACAAGTACTCTACCTGAGGTACTGTCACTCCAGCCCCTGCAGGAGGAAATCTTTTTGTAGATTACAGTAGCTGCAATATGGCCTTCTGTACTTATTTTGTTATGTCTTCACCTATTTCAAAATTATTCATGGGTCATATATCTATCTCATAGGAAAAAGTCGTTAATCCCAGAGACAAAATGTCTCATTTACACTGAGTTAAACAAAATCAACACGAATTAACACCAGAACTTTTTAGAAACTTTATTAAGAATCTGATTATACTCTCTGAGAAGTGAGCAGTGGTCTTGCTTCTCAAGACTGCAGCCAGACTCCCCCTCCCCCCAAGGAGTCAAAATAAAGAACACACTTCGGTCTTGATTGAGTCTGGATCCAAAACACTGTGCTTCTATGGGAGTACTTGTTGACCACTGTGATAGCTGATCTACCTAGATATGGTACACGCATCAGTAGAAAGAAAGAAAGTCAATTTTGGTCATCAAATTCTTTAAAACAGCTGCCCTTCTTACCAAGAGCATTTCATGGATTTGTACCGAGTTTATGAAGGACTACTATGTGCCACACATGGAGTCAGACCCGTGGAAAACAAAGATTTTTCTTAGAGTATCTACCCTCAGGAATACAGAGAAGAGCAGATCACATAAGAGCCTTAGAGGGAGTGTGTGGGGGGGGCAAGGGGGGGTGCATTAGGCAGCCACAAGGTATTATGGTTAAGGCCAAGAGGACAGGTTAATTTAACAAAACTGACAGACCATGATGATCCCCAGTTGTTTTTAAAAAATTATTTGCTGGGCTGAGGATTCAACCAGTCTTACACATGCAAGCCAAGTGTTCTACATACTGACACACATCCCTGACCCCTCAGGTTGTTCCTTGAAGCAGAAAAAGATGATTCAAGTCCAGGAAAGGATGATGGATAACAGCATGTACAAAGACAGAGGCTGAACTCCAGCCTCAGAACTCCAGGTAGTCTGCAAAGCTAGAAAATGGGATGTGAGAGACTGAACAGACAGAAGGAGTATGCTAGGAAGCCTGTCTTATTATCAGGTGGATGGAACAAGAACAGATTGTTAAACTGAGTCAGGCATTTGTCTTGAAAGGTCCCTCTGTTAAGTACTGTAAAATACGGATTTTGGAGGTAGATCAAAGGGAGAACTAGGAAACCACTAGGATTTATGAGGGCATGAAGGTAGGGAGATTCAGAACTGACAGAATTGGATGTACTAAGATGTTGTTTGGGATGAAGGAGAGTGTCATCCAGAGACCCACTGTTCAGGGAAAAGAGATCAAGGGGTTGGTTTGGGATGAGGTAATGTGTTCAGTTTTGCACTTCTTTGTTTGAAAACGGTGATAATTAAAGAGGTTCACAGGCTATGTTGGAACACAAGAGTTGAGAAATAGAGATTTAACAGATACTGGAATAAAAGCATTATGTATAGATGAGATTAGGCAGGAAGTGTGTACACTGAAAAGAAAGCAGAACATATGTAAACTCATGAAATTTTTAGATGCTGCAATAAACCTTAAGTGTTTATACAAAAATTATCAGTAGATAAGGGTACAAAGAATAAAAGGAGGTCCTTTCATCCAAGAAAACTATGAAATAGTTATAGAAAAATAATCATATCCAACTATGATGCAAAATGAACTGGGAGTTCTAAATGTCCTGTGTATAAGAAGCAATTAATTCCATGAAAGACGTAAAGGTTTTAGGTTTGAGTTAGAGTTCACAAACAGGAAGGGGAGAAAAGTAACCTGAGGCTGAATATTAGGACACAAAGGTTATAATTAAATGAAATATGGATAGTGATACAAAGAGGCTGGCCAGGCAGTTGGATCAGGATGTAGTGAATTCTAAGATTTCTCACACTCCATTTTAAAGACACATGTGCCTGATGTATATAAAAGCCTCTGGTTCCAATTCAGCAACTTATTAAGAATTAGCAGCCTAATTTCGGAAATGCCTCTAAGAACAATAACCTTTCAGCATCTGTATTGCAAGCCATAATGCCCAAAAGAGGGAGAGTGAGGTAGAGGGACAGAGAGGGAGGGGGGTAGAGAGAAGAATAAGAGGGAGGGTAAGAGAGAGGGAGGTAGAGAGAGAGGGAGGTAGAGAGAGAGGGGGAGAGAGGAAGAGAGGGAGGGAGGGAGGGAGGGAGGGAGAGAGGAGAGGGAAAGGGAGAGAGGGAGAGAGAGATACTGGGGACATTGTGGTGGGAAATATACACTGGTGATGGGATGGGTGTTGGAACGTTATATAAAAACCCAATCACAAACAACCTTGTAACTGCATCTGACTGATTCAATTAAAAAATCAGACCAGAGTACGGGGGCAAGGCACTTCACTGCTGGGTGTTACCCCTCCCCAAAGAATAATGTAACAAAAAATGCTAAAGGAAACCTAAAAAAAGAAAAGAAAAAAACACTATAGATTTAAGCTTATAAACGCTCTTTCTCAACACTGTTTCCATTATGCAAAACTCTTGTTAGTGGAACTCTTAATTACTTGGCTTCGTTATGAAATTTCCATTGCATATCAATGTAAATAATTTCAACTTAATGTTCTCATCTGAATCTGTGGCTGAAAGTATCACTAGAAATCACATTTTTGTGGCACTTCCTTGGCAAACTGAAGGAAAACAAAATGTATACTACTGAACAAGTCATGCATGACTTTGAAAGCAATGGATTATATATAGTAAATAATAAGAGATAAAGTATATTTTAAAGATTAAAAATATTTTATTTAAACTTTCTTCATAAACACTTTTAACATTTTTTCAATTTAAAAACAGAATGGATAGCATAAACATGTTCGAATAGATTATATTCACGGCTTGGGAAAAGTTACCTGACAAAAATGTAAAGGCTTTCAAAACAGGTATAAAAGGCAAACCTTAAATTATTCTAAGATTTTTAAGTTGGCCCTACGATTATTTGACTACTGGCCCAAAATGTACCTAAAGGTCAAAATATTTTTCTATAGACAAAGTATGCCCAAGAGGTATAGGGCATATACAAGTTAGGTAGAAAATAACCTCTCCAATCACCTCACTGGAACATTCCTTCAGAAAGCAAACACCTAATCCTTACTGATACACTGATTAATAAGTTTTTTATGTAGTTGTTCCCAAAGATGTAAAAAGAAAATCCAACATTATAAAGGGGGAACAAACCAACCTGATGGCATTATTTCAACGGTACTTGTACAATATTTAAGTAAGATTGGTATACTGAAAGAATATGACTTCCATGAGTCCACCTATTCCCATCTATGCTTATGGAATTTACTTTATAATCTCTCAATAAACTAATTTTTTGGAATCTTTCACCATAAATTTCTTTTTAGAAGACAGTTATTCCCAAACCAACTGTAATTCGATTAAACAAAACATATGATCCCTAAAAATGTTCAGAGTACAAAAACAAAACCAAAAATGTATAATAGGAAAACAAGAAAAATGGCACTAGCAGTCTTACTGCCGTATAGCCCTCAATTATATCTAATTTACACTATCATCTATGTTGTGTTTTACTTCAGTCTAAAACTTTAAATTATGTATCCTCAAAAGAGCTAGTCTTTTGAGATATAGCTTATAAACTGAAATAACAATTTATATTATAAACTGAAATGTTATGACCTACAACCACATATACATATATAAAAATAGTCCCACTGAACGTCTGACATGTTTAGATTATGCAGCTCAAATAATTTGTTATAAAATATTTTAAAGCTTAGTTTCATGTAATTAAGACAAAACTCTCCATTTTTACCACTTCTCCTCACACAAATGTGTCCTTTACTATGACACGAGCAGGCTTCCCAGAATGAGGTGTCCAAAGGTGCTGCTTTAGAAAAGATAAGTGAAGGGCTCAGTCAATATTTCACAAATTATAGTAACACAGAGTAGAGAAATGAGGACACAGTGAAAGCTGTCTCAAGAAAACTAATTCTAGTAAGCATTGCTTTTCAAAAACCAGTAGTATTTCTTCCAATACAAAACCTTCAATGTGAGAATTTTGACTTTTATGAAAAGGTTGTAGTGCAAGGATTTTCTTTAAGCAGATTAAAATAAAAACTTCGAAGGTCAAAGACATGGAAGAGAACAAACACTTCTAATTAGATGCAAGTAATGAAGATTAGCTATATTTGTCAAGTCTGGCATTGAAAATTTAAAGTAAAAATTAACACAAAGAGCAAAACAGTTCAACTGTATTGTTTCAGATCTCTTTGAATTTTTAGAGAACTATTTTGAGCGTATACAATGTTTATCAACAAAAATGGTTCCAAATGAAGCACACAAATACTTGAAAATATTCTATGAAAAAAATTTCCATAGTTTAGTATAACAAAAATAAATCTCTTTCAGCAATTAAACCAGAGTTTTAAATGGGAATGTAATTATGGATTTAAAATAACCTAAACTAGCACTACATATAAACAGAAGAAGTTTCTCATACATTCAGAACCCAAGCAATAGCAACTATTTTTAAAGCTCAAAACTGATAACAGCTAACATCAGGTCAGACATGACTTACATGTGAAGCTGAACCCAGAGTTAGTTCAAGTTAAGGTTTCACAAATTTTCTAAAACATGAACTTTGAGCTTGGCCATATGCCTTGAAAATGGAAGACCAAGAATATTTCACTTATTTGCCCAGATCTTAGCCTAATGAGGGCTAGGAAGTCATATCTAAGCAATTAAAGAGAAGCACCACTGGAGTATATATATAAAGCCTCTCATAGGTCTTGGACCGAGATCCCATCTCGGTCTTTACCAGCAAAATGAGGAAAATAACAAAAACATTATTGTTATTTTCTTTAAAGCAAGAAAGCACACATAACTATACCCAGTAATATATTAGGGAAAAGAATGAAATGGCTAACCAATGCCTAGTTTTCAAAGTAAACTAATTTTAAATAATTTTTTAAACGTAGAAAACTTTTACCCATATTGGCATGGGGAAAAAATTATTCTTAGAAACTGAAAGCAAATGATAGGAACATCTGATAAAAATTTAAGTGTCACATACAAAAATAAATGTTAATAACTTGATTTCTAAAACCTATGCCAATATTTTTCTTGTTCAAAAACTACCTGTGCATCTGGCTAAATCTTAAATGCCTTCAGTTTGGGGACTTTTTATTAGAGTAGTTAGACAACTAGTCTAACTGCAAACAAAACCAAAAAACAAAAGTCTTCACATTTCCATGACTTCACGCTTCCATTTTATGTTCAGTGGTGGCAGCAGCAAAAAAAAAATTTTAAAAAAAGTGTAACTAGAAAATTTATACAACAGCCATATAGAAGGCATTGCAATATTGCACTGATATCCTAAGATCTGGCATGTTTTGCCAGTGTAGTTTTCTAGTCTGTATGACACACAGACTTTTATTTGCTCAGGAGAAAATGGCACCAATTTGAATGATCCACTCCCCTATTATTCTTGCTTAATTTTGTCTACTACATTTTTCCTTCAAGTTGAAACAGTTGAAAGGTGCGGCAAATCCTAAAAACACTTATTACAAATGCTTTTCAAACAGTTCTTTTTGATCCATTCTTAGCTTTTGGGTTATTCTCCATGCTAGTAGCTTTCTGTGAAAGAAAAACTGGGGATTTTACACCCCCAGTGCCGCTAAGTATTTTGTACTAAATAAACAAGTAGATATGACCAGTAAGATTCTAATTCTATCCCTTACCTCTATGTCAAAACTGAGCTCAAATTTCCACGAGTTGCTACTTTCCATTCAATAACAGATGCAGCAGCAGTATTGAATGTAAAGAAGGGGTTGCACTTACTTTCAGGGGGCCTTTACTAGGAGTCTGGTATTACCTAAATTCTCTTTAAAAGTGCTTGCACGCTGCAGGGCCAGGGCTTGTCATATACCACTCCAATTCTCACTAATAACAGGGTAACATTAAACAAACTGCAAAGAAAAACATCTTCAAAAACAAGACAAACATCGATAAAGAACACTAATGTTTACATTTGGAAATAAAATACAAAATGTTAGTTTTCATAAATCCATACATGTTTCAGGAATACAGAGTTCAAATATTACTGAATCAGTATGGACTAAAGACAGGCTACTCTGATACCAAATGAGGACTCCAGTTACTTTAACTTTCTAAAAATGTTAATACACGAAAAGACGTTACATCTAAAATTCAACAGTATGGCAAACTGTGTGCAAGTGCACTAGCTTAAAAATATAGAATCCTAACCACGCATAAAAGGGGATGTGCCTTATATATTTATAAGATGTATGCAAGTGTGGATATGCTTTCACTAACACAATGCAGATAAGAGAAGGCAGCTTAGAAATAGTGTTCTGAATATAAAAAAGTTACCTTTGTAGAAAATTTATATTTTTGCATTTTCAGCAAAAAGCCATGCAAAAAAGGTCATGAGTTTGAAACTTAATAAAACCAAAAGGTCTAACAGACTGAAATACACTGAAAGAAGTCTTCGAAAAGATTTCAGATAGATATAGGAACTGAAATTGCATCCCAGGTCTTCTCTCACAAGATGCATACCTCCTATACTGGTATCTGAAAGAAATGTTTAAAGCATAAAATCAACTTCCCGGGTAAGTGGATCATTCTATTAAACTGCTTCTGGAAGTAGATTCAAGAGCTAGTGCTTAGAATTAACTTATTGCATGAATTTGAGGTCACTAAAAAGAAAAAGAATGCTAGCACAGAATGAAAATTTATGATATAAGACCAATGGCTTTGATAGTAAAACTGGTGAGGTTTTTCTTTATGCTTTAACTACGACACAAACAAATGTTCTTGTTTGGCTTCTTTTTTGAGTGAAAAAGACGTCGTTTTAGTTGCAACGTCTGACCTCATCCAGTATATATTCTGGGAAATGCAGGTTGCAGACTTGTAAACCATCCAGCTTGCAGGGCATTCGTGGATACTCATCTTCTTTCCATTTGTTTTCATCAGGATCAAAAGTGAGAATGGAATCGCTGTAGTGACCGTTGTAGCAAAGGCCTCCAAGAACCATTATTTGTTTGTCCAGCACAGTCACACCATGACCACTTCTACCAATTGGCATGGATGCCAATATGGTCCACTGATCAGTCTCTGGGTTGTACACTTCGGTGGACGGGCATCCCTGAGATTCAAAAGAAGCCCTCAAGATCACACAAACACCACCGAAGACATAGAGCTTGCCGTTGTAAGAAATCATTTTGTGAAAGCATCTTGCGTAATTCATTTTGCTTCTATTCTCCCAGCAGTTGGTAACTACTTGAGTTCTCCGGGTTCGTTGCTCGATGGTCCCTTCTTTGCTGGGGTCAAAGACACACACTTGTTTGGAGGTGGAGGATGAGGTGATACCACCAGTGATAAACAACTTGTTATTGAGCACAGTCCCTTCATGTCCATATTTGTTAACAGGATAAGGATCCACAAATTCCCACTGGTCATTGGTGATGTCGTATCTCTCAGTAGAATAGAAAGTCTCATCTCTGGTTCTGCCTGCTACAGCGTAAATGAACTTTCCAATGACACCAACTGCAAATTCTGATCGTGGTACAGACATGTCTGCCATTCGGAGCCAAGAATTTTGTCTTGGGTCATATCTGAATACTTTAGAGGAAGCATGGAATTCTCCATCTGGGCCTAGCTCTTCTCCGCCCAACAGGAACACAAAGTTATTGACAATGGCAAGGCAGTCTGGGCGCAGAGGAACTTGTGGGCCCTCAAGCTCCCACCAGACTCTTGGTTTCTTTAAAAGAAGTATTTTGCTATTAACCATACTATGTCCAATCATTCCTCGGAATACTGTAGTCTGGGGTTTGGCAGATCGAATACGGCTAGACTTCATATCCAATAAAGGTTGCTGGTGAACATTCTGAAAGTAATTCAACGCCTGGTCAACTTCATAACGCAGCTGTCGGGAGTATCTGTAAAATTCTGATGTTTTAACCTAAGAATGCAAGTTTGAAAACAACACAAAAATTATTTAACCAAAAAGAAAGACCACTAGTATCAAATAATATAACAAAATCTAGTAAGACAACTTAGGGATTTAGGCAAGCCTTACTAAAACTTTCTTCTAAACTTTCTTCTAAACTTTCTTCCTATTATTTTCTACAAAGCTTTTATGCTTTTTATATCTGTAATAATCTCTGGTATTTCTAAGCTTTTTAAAGCAAACAATTTATTTTCCAGGAAACCGCTTAAGTCCCCTTATCAAGTACACTAATCCCCTTATCAAGTCCTGGGCTACAAGTGGCAGCTATAAAGATAGAGGTTTCATAGTAGAAAGAAACCATGGGGATGGTTTTTCCCAACCACAAAAACACTATTAAAAATAAACACTAAATAATTTGGGGGATTTGTTAGTGAGTTAGTAAAGCATCGAATATATACAAAATATTGATTCAATCTGTAAGAGAGAAAAGACAAGTGTCTGCCATAGAGGCAGGCTGTGGGGAGGGTTAGTGGGAAGGAAACGGGATCATTAGTGGTGGGAAATGTATACCGCTGAAGGGATATGTGTTGGAACGTTGTATATGACAAACAAAATCATGAAACTTGTAACTGTATCTCACAGTAATTCAATAAAAATAAGTAAAGATGATCTGATATCATGATACAGTACTAATTCAGATGACAAGAAAAAACTTGAGTTGGAAATTTTTCTTGTTTTAACAGTTGTATCTACCTAATTATAAGACCTCATAAATCACCTTTAAATATGCTAAATACCATGAGATTAGGGCTAGAGCGATAGCACAGCGGCAGGGCGTTTGCCTTGCACGCAGCCAACATGGCCGACCCGAGTTCGATTCCTCCGCCCCTCTCGGAGAGCTCGGCAAGCTACCGAGAGTATCTCGCCCACACGGCAGAGCCTGGCAAGCCACCCGTGATGTATTCGATATGCCAAACACAGTAACAACAAAATCTCCAATGGAGATGTTACTGGGCCCGCTAGAGCAAATCAATGAACAACGGGAGGGCCTTTACTTTACCATGAGATTAAAAAAAATAAGGTGGTTCCTCGAAGGCATGTTTCCTCAAAGAAATTAGAATATATTTGAAGTAAAATATTTACCAAAAAGTAAATGTGTAAGTTGACAGGTATGAAGCTGCACAGTTCATCTGAAAATGCTGTTAAACTTTAGCTATATAATGCTTAAAGGAATACTTTGTGAAGAGACAGGAAGCTAGACCAAACAGAATAAACCTGTGTCATAACTAATTTGTGTCATAATGTAGAGGGAGTCAAAATCTTTTTATGAACTCTTTCCTTTTATCTACTCTTTCTCTACCACCGTCCCAAACAAGTATTTGAAAATGAAAAGTACCACAAACTTGTTATTTTAATAACTGCATTTCAAAATGAATTTTGCTATCTCCTGATAAATGACTTCTTAGATAAAATTTATTATGCAAGCATCAAAACGTCATATGCTATCACCCTCAACACATCTGTGCTATCTACAGGGATAAATTTTAAATATGCAGTTCAGTATTAGTCCAAATGTCACTATGTGGCACATGACTATACGTATAAACAGATGTTTTCCCAGTAAACAATGGGCCTGACCCCTGTATTTTATTAAAAATATACTTCAAAAAATTAAAAAATAAATATATGTATATACTTCAGTATTTTAAAACAAATGTTTCACATTTTCACTGTCTATTCATTTCTTCTATGAATTGCCTAATAATGTGACTCACTCATTTTTCTCTTGAGATCTAAAAAGCAATACCCTGAAAACCAGCAAGAAACATAAACCTCAAATTAAATAGTTAAGCACCCACTGTGCACAGCCAGTGGTCTGAGAACTACACAGGTTTTGAAGTAACAGAATCTTGTCCAGAACAGTAATTAAGCACCACATCCAGCAGTCCAGCATGGTGATTAAGAATCTGATTTAGGAAATATGCAACTTAGGCACTCACAAGCTATGCAGTCTTGTGCAAGCAAGTAACTCATCTTTTTGTTTTTTGTTTTGTTTTTGTTTTGGGGACAAACCTGGAGATGCTCAGGGGTTACTCCTTGCAGGAATCTCTTCTGGTGGTGCTCAGGAGACCATATGAGATGCCAGGCTCAGCGAGTTTCCAGCAAATGCCCTACCTACTATACTATCACTCTGGCCCAGAAACTCAACATCCTTAAGCCCATTTCCTCATCTGAATTGTTGGGAAGAGGAGCAGCATCAACGCCTTATGACTCTAAAATGTAAGACAAATAAAATAATCTATGTGAAAGAGAGTGTGGGGCCTATCATGTGGCAGTGAGAAAAAAATGCTGTTAGTATTACTGACCAGAGGACATATCTATGCAAGTGTCCCTCTGCTTCCGTCAATGCAGCTGACTGTGCTTTTGGTCAATGCAGCTGTGCTTTTGGTCTGTGTAAAATAAGGGAGACTCTTTCTGCACCTTATCCTTACCAGTAAAACACGACTGGTGAAACATGACTAGTAACACACAAGGAGGGAGCTTTAGAGAAAGCAGCAGTGTTATTTGGAGATCAAGAAAGAAAGACTGCTGCACATATTGGATAGGCAGATTTCAAGTTTTTCAAAAGGAAATTAGGATTTATTCCAAGATCAGAAACTGTAAAGAAGCTTGGAGGCTCTCAAAAACATAATGATAAATGCATAATTGCAAAACACACTGATGGGGGGGGAGGAAATATCTAAAAAATCTGATGTGCTTCAGAGAACATTCTGGAATTCAGATGTTTAAAAAAAAAAAAAACCTCTTGCAACAGATGGTAAAAAAATCCAGGAAAATAAAACAAGTGTGATAAAGAGTGAAATGGAGTTATAAGATTGTGAACTGGGGCTGGAGAGATAGTATAGCAGATAGGATGCTTGCCTTGCATGCAACTAACCCAGGTTCGTTCCCCAGCATCCCATATGGTGCCCCCGAACACCACCAGGATGAATTCTTAAATGCAGAGCCACGAGTAACCCCTGAGCATTGCTGAGTGTGACCCAGAAAGAACATAAAAAACTAGTAATATAAACACGTTAAAGCCTCAGTATTGAACTGTGACTTCACAAAGTGCCAGCTACTAAATAGATGGCACTGGTGAGGCTAAGTATAAGAAAGTGTGATTATTAACAAAGACAAAAAGAAAATAGCTTCACCTTCACCCTATTTTATTTCTGTTCTCAGCTAAAAATGCTTTAGTCTTTCAAAGACCAAATACAGTGACTAATAAGAAACTTAAATTCAAGACGGCTCGGGCAAAAAAAAAAAAAAAGCAAGCTAGATATTCTAAGTTCAAGCCATTCAATCTCATAAATCATGTCCTGGGGTTCTGAGAGGCTTACAAGATAAATGCTGTTTAATTGCCTTCTGTAATCCACGAGGAATCATAAAGAATAGGATCAGATTAAGAACCAGCCACACTCCTGAACTATAGTCTGGTTAGCTTGAGGCTGATCCTGAATTATTTAAAAGAAAACAAACAAACAGCTCTTACAAAGTGCTACACACTAGGAGGCAACACGAAATCAAGTAATGCCAAAACTAACCACTTTCAATTAAATGTTGACAATGTCATAGCTCAAGAAAAGGATGAGAAAAATCTGTAACTTGTACAAGATAATTAACAAAACCTCATCAAAAGAAATATTGGGGACCCATGAAGCACCTGAAATTGCAGCAATAATGTTAATGCATTTATTAGGCAGCATGAGGTGGCAGAAGTCCATTATGGTATAATCATGCACTTCATATACCACTGAAGTTCAAATACAAAGCTTTAAAGACTATTCTCATTTCAATATAAACTATGTTATATGGCAAACTTAAGCATCAGTAAAAGTTTAGGCTGAACAAAAAAGTAATTTCACTTTCTTTGATCAGGTAGAATCACAAGTGTTCAGTTGCATCACTATAGTTCTACATCAATAAAGCAGACCAAAGACAGAGAAGTGATCCAAATCGTATAAAGAGTGGTCAAGAGAATAAGGATTTCTTCAGCCAAAGAAAGGTTTCAGAAAGTCAGCTGTTTTCAGGACCAGTAAGTGAAAAGAGGGGAAAATTATATATTAATATAAGAAAAATATTTGTAATTTTAAAATGTTAAAATAAGGGATATTCACTGCATTATTATTGGAAGCGAATGAAAACTAGAACACAAACATTTAAAATGTCTTGCACATGGCAGACTTGGGTTCAATCCCCAGCACCACATATGGTCCCCTAAACTGGCCAAGAGTGATCCCTGAGCCCGGAGCCAGAAGAAAGCCCTGAGTACAGCCAAGTGTGACCCAAAAACCGAAAATGAGTAAGATGTCACATCTAAACATCTATGAGTAAGATGTCACATCTAAACATCTAATATAATGATAGTCTCAAGTGAAATAGTGACTGCTTTATATAGGCAGTATATGGAGGAGGAAATATATGTATTATGTACACAAGATAAAATTTCCAATGAGCTCCTGGGGAACTTAGCCCTTTTTTTCCAGTTCTGCATTAACTCTGATTTGACCTTTTCATAGGACCTATAATAAAGGGGACATGGGCACATTATTTCCCAAAAGTTAGAAACTGCCAGGAACCACTAAGTACCCTACAAGGAAGGTAATGAAGATGTGCGAATGTATACCATGTAACACAGGAGAAGGGATTTTTTAGTACCTAAGAAGGCTAGGAAGAATGGCCTATAATGACTAGCCATCTTGCAACTCTGGTTCTTACAGATCCAACTATGCCAGTTCAACTGTTTCTTAGAATCATTTCCTAGTGTTTGCATTTATCCTCAGTCCTCTCCCACTGGAACTCTGTACTTCTTTAAAACTTGGGATGCAGACTTTATGTGTCACTTCAACTAAGTCCAAATCAAAGCTATACATTCTTGGAGTCAGAGAGAAAGTACAGTGGGTAGGGCACTTACCTTGCATGCAGTCAACCTTGGTTTAATCCCCAGCATCCCACACAGTCCCTCAAGC